TGTCTTTCCATTTGTTTGGGTCTTTCTAAATTTTTTTCAGTGATGTTTTGTAGTTCTCAGCATACAAGTCTTGCACTTCTTTTGTGAAATTTATTCCTAAGTATTTTGTTCTTTTTGATGCTATTACAAATGGGATTTTTATTAATTTCATTTTCAGATTGCTCATTGCTAAGTACATATAAATACAATTGATTTTTTGTGTATTGGTTTGGTATCCTGCAACCTTGCTGGACTTGTTTCTTCTAATTTTTAAATATTTTTAGTGAATTACGTAGGAATTTCTGTATAGAAGGTCATGTTTATATAGAGAATAGAGATAGTTTTTTTTTTAAGATTTTATTTATTTATTTGACAGAGAGAGAGAAAGCGAGAGAGGGAACACATGCAGGGGGAGTGGGAAAGGGAGAAGCAGGCTTCCCGCCGAGCAGGGAGCCTGATGCGGGGCTCGATCCCAGGACCCTGAGATCATGACCTGAGCCGAAGGCAGTCGCTTAACTGACTGAGCCACCCAGGCACCCCGAGAATAGAGATAGTTTTACTTCCTCCTTTCTGATTAGAATGCCTTTTATTCCTTTTCTTTTATTTTTTTAAAGATTTTATTTATTTGACAGAGAGAGACACAGCAAGAGAGGGAACACAAGCAGGGGGAGTGGGAGTGGGAGAAGCAGGCTTCCTGCGGAGCAGGGAGCCCGATGCGGGGTTCCATCCCAGGACCCCAGGATCATGACGCCAGACGAAGGCGGACAGTCAACCGACTGAGCCACCCAGGCGCCCCTTTATTCCTTTTCTTGCCTAACTTCCTTAGTTAAAACCTCCAGTGCTGTGCTGAACTGAAGTAGAGAGGATATCTTTGTTTCGTTCCCAATCTCAGGGGGAAAACATCCAGTTTTTCACCCTAAATATGATGTTAGCTGTGGAATTTTGTAACTACCCTTTATCAAGTTGAAGAAATTCCTTTCTAGTCATAGTTTGTTGAGTGTTTATCATAAAAGCCTGTTGGATTTTGTCAAATGTTCTTTCTGCATCCATAACATGGTTTAAATTAATTTGAAATTAATGAAAATCATACTGTATTCTCTTTGTAAAGACTTTCTTCAGTGTATAGAAGGCTACGGTCTCCTTAATTCTTTCCCAGCCACCCCAAGTTACCCACTATTGTTAGATCGCTTCATTTCCTTTCAGGTATTTTCCTATCCTATGTGTGTGTGTGTGTAGCTGTCCAAAATATACGTTTTTTTAAAAAATATTTATTTATTTGAGAGAGAGAGCACGCACGCATGTGCACAAGTTTGAGGAGGGGCAGAGGGAGAGCGAATCCTGAAGCAAACTCCCCGCTGAGCACAGAGCCCCCCATGCAGGGCTCAACCCCAGGACCCTGAGATCATGACCTGAGCTGAAATCAAGAGTTGGCTGCTTAACCAACTGAGCCACCGAGGTGCCCCTATACAGTACACATTTTAATAAAAAGTGGTATAATATATATATGTGTGTGTATGTGTGTGTGTGTGTGTGTATGCTATTTCCCCTTGAGATACCATCTTGTTCCCAGCTGATATTCCAGTGTCCCATCTTTCTTTTAAGGATGAGATCAGGGGCGCCTGGGTGGCACAGTCGTTAAGCGTCTGCCTTTGGCTCAGGTCATGATCCCAGAGTCCTGGGATCGAGCCCCACATCGGGTTCCCTGCTCAGTGGGATGCCCGCTTCTCCCTCTCCCCCTGCTTGTGTTCCCTCTCTCGCTCTGTCTCTCTCTGTCAAATAAATAAATAAAATCTTTAAAAAAAAAAAAGGATGAGATCAAGTCCCTCCTTTTTTGTCGAAGCTTCTGAGGTCATCCCACATATCAGACATCTTTCCTTCTAGCAACAACTTAGGATCTTACCCCCTACTTGGCACTCTTCAGTTATATATATATATATATCACAAGAAATGTTTGTGATACTATATTATATATTATATAATATAATTATTATATATTATATATACATATCACAGGAGATGTTTGGATTTGAATGAACCGAACTCTCACACAGCATACACTTGCCCCCCTACACATCTTTTGTACCATAAGGAACATTTCTAGCTATTGTGTGATGATAGCATTATAACCAGTTAAATTTTGAGCCACTGTGACATCTTTTTACATGGCGGTGTTTGTTGGTATGATGAGCTGAATTCAGCTGTCTTATAGACTACAGAGAGTCCCCAACTTATAATAACACTTTATATGGTGGTTTGAAAGCCATATGCCTTAAGTAGAAACTGTACTTTAAATTTTGAATTTTGATCATTTCTTGGGTGAGTGATATGCTGTACGATACTCTCACAATCCTAGGCAGTGCAGCAAGTCGCAGGTCCCATTCAGCCAGCTGATCACCAGGGTCAATAACCAATACACTTTTGACCATTCTGTACCCATGCAATTATTCTATTTTTCACTTTCAGTGCAGTATTCAATAAGTTCCAGGAGCTATTCAACACTTTATTATAAAACAGACTATTTTATAGGGGATGATTTTGCCCAAATGTCAGCTAACATAAATGTTTTGAGCACATTTATAGGCTAAGCTAAGCTATGAGGTCCAGCGGGTTAGGTGTATTAAATGAATTTTCAACTTATAATATTTTCAGCTTACAATGGGTTTATCAGGATGTAGCCCCATGATAAGTAGAGAAACATCTCTCTGTTTTTATGCTCTGCCCGTAACACAGGCTCCTGTGTGTGGAAGTCTTACTGCATGGGAGAATCAGGGACAGAACATCCCCTTTTCCTGTTAACATACTGGTTGTATTCCAGGCTTCTGAGTGTGATTTGGTTTGAAAAAAGCACTTTGCTGTTTTAAAGAAAGGAAATCTGAAAATCACTATTTTATTGCATTTTGCTCTTACAGTTTCATTAAAAGGATCAGAAAATGGGAAAGTAAAACGGCTAATTCTAGTGTAACAAGTGTAAGTCTTACAAATGAAATACGCTGACGACAAAGACGGAGCTCGGAAAGCAGTGGAAGCCAGGAATCTTTGACCTTGGTTGGGTGTCCCTGAACTTAAGCTACCCTGCTGATGTTCAGTTATGAAGGAAAAAGACCACAGGTATAAAATATGTATGAAATGCTGAAAACCTATGTCGTCACTAGTTTTATCTAAATCGCGGGGTATAATAGAGGGTTTTATAACCGGTTTTTAACTCTTTGGGAACAAACTGCTCCTTATAATGTGCAAGTCTATTATTTAACTTCCACATCTGACTTCGACCCACATGTTCAGGAATGTGCCATGTACAAAAGGAGTGGAATGACTGGACGATATTGCCTGAGACAGTAGGAAGCTCCCTGTAATCAAGGACAGTCCCATTTAATGGTCATTTAACAAATATTTTGCTTGTTGATTTATTAATTGTATCTCATTAGAGTAAATCTAACTTCTTCATGGAGAATTGTTTGCTGGTGAGTTCCCTTCAGTCTACTTCTCCTGTAGTAATTCTGAGGAGCGCATCAACGTGCATCTTTGGCCTCCAGGTAAATCCACTGAGACTTTTCCTTGCGGCGATTTACTACCCCTGAAATCAAATCTAAACTCATTCCATTGACTTGGGTGGAGACATGCTTCTACCTAGAATGGGTGCTTCATGTTTACCTGGAAGCTTCTTAACGTTGATACTCTGCCAACAAATCGAAGAGGATGTACACTTTTTAGCACGAGATACACATGCCACTCTCACATATATTTGGTAAGAATTTTTCAAAGTACATCCTTCCTGAAGGGCCACATGACAATATGGATCAGGAACTTTAGAAAGGAACTCACCTTTTGACCTAGAAATTCCACTTCTAGAATTTGTCCTACATAAACAACCAGACAAATGTGCAAAGATGCCTGCACAAAGATCTCTATTACAGCATTTATTATAATAATGATAAACTGGGAATAACCAATGGCTAGAAAAGACAGGTTTCAAAAGAAAAAGTTACTTCTAGCAGGTGATACGTGTTTATATATTATTCTATCTTTTCAGATTTTTTATGCTTTATTTTTTTAAATTTTAATTCCAATGTTAACATACAGTGCTATATAAGTTTTAGATGTACAATATAGCCATTTGATGGTTCCATATATGACTCAGTGTTCACCAAGGTAAGTGTACTCTTAATCCCCTTCAACTGTTTCACCCATCCCCCACCCTATCCATTAAGTTTTTTTTTTTTTAAAGATTTTATTTATTTTTCAACAGAGAGAGAGAGACAGCGAGAGAGGAAACACAAGCAGGGGGAGTGGGAGAGGGAGAAGCAGGCTTCCAACTGAGCAGGGAGCCCGATGTGGGACTCGATGACCTGAGCTGAAGGCAGACGCTTAATGACTGAGCCACCCAGGTGCCCTCCATTAAGATTTTTAAGGTTTGGAAAATTTCACACCAAAATGCCAGCAATGATTATTTTGGGGTAACAGTTTCGGTGGCTCAAAAAGTTTTATTTGCTCTACCTGAGTAATTTTCTTTTTTTTTTTTTCCCTAAAATGAACACAGTATTGCTCTTTGTATGTATATAATATTATTTTTTTAGGTAATGCAGGCCAGTCAACCCAATATTAAAAGGCTGGAGGGTACTTTTAATGACAATTGCAACGTAAGTTTTGGTAAAAATTCTAAATCACTCTTTGAGATGTATTTTGCAGAGAATTCTATTTCTGAGGTTTGGATGTTAGCTATTACTATAGCTCTGTTTCAAATTCATCTAACAGTTTTCCCATGGGCCCTCCACATCACAAAAATTCCCCATCAGACCAAATGCCATAATTGCACATGACTCTTACCAGATAGGCTCTCCAGAAGGATTGAATGCACAGAGCTGCCTCTTCTTCTGTCAGCAGGAGGGAGAGTGGGATCGGCGGCCGGGGACTGAAAAGCAATAAAATGGTCATATGCCCATGAGAATCCATCCTTCAGCCTCGGCAGCCCTTTGACAACATAATGGCCTCTCTGATTAAGTGCCTCATCCATTTCCATTCTTAGAAAGCAACAATGCCATTTTTGATAGAAAAGTTTAGGCTTGAGTTAGCATGTTGTATTTTAAAATCCAAGATGGATTCGTTTTGTTTTGTTTTTAACCAGTGTACTCTTAAATCACTGTTAGCCTGTTCTGCTTCGAAAGGCTCAGGCTGTTAAAGCTGCATGTGAGTCCTAAAAGGTGGGACCTCCATAAGGCTCTATAGACATAAAACAGGAGACAAAGCAGGGCGACTTTTAAATACTGCATTACAACTGAGACATAATAAAGGATTCTTTTTCTACCTTTCTACTGAAGGGAAATTAAGCAGCTCATCTCTTTCCTCAAGGCAAAAATATTGGAATTTATCTCTGATAAATTGTGTGTGCATTCCAGTTTAATGTGGCTTGAATTCAGGCATATTTTTAAGTTAAGTTCTGCTACTATATCTTAATAGGCAATAAAATATCTCAAGTGCTGGGTCAGTTGACATTGCTTGCTCTTGTGGGATTTTTCAGATTGGGATGGGATGTTTGATCATAGATATCATGTTTAAAAATCATGGTGAAATGCTCTTTTCTCTCCCCCCCCCAAAAGTTGCATAGAGATACTAATTCCTGACAAGTTCTTATAAGTATGATTTGATTCTGGTTCCTTATGTTTCTCGAAAGCACAGCTACCTCTGAAAAGCCCAGTTAAGCCTTTTTAGATATAGTACAAAGAAATAAACCTCAGAAAGGATGTGGGTCACATGGAGGCTGCTCCCAGGACAGGATCCCCAGAAATGACTTTGCAAGTGAGGGGTTCCTAAGTTCCCTGGCCTCAGAGTTCTCCCTAACAACAGCCATCATTTGAGTTTATAGTAACTCCCATCATACAGAGAGGTTGACTAACCTACCCAAGGTCACACAGCTTGTAGATGGCCTAGTTGGGGTCTGAGCCCAGACTCATAGGATCCTAAAGCCTAGGCTTCCCTCTCAATGCTCGGCTGACACCAGACTTTCACTGGGCAAATACTTGCAGATGCGGAGCCTGGCACAGACTGCAAAGCTAAGTGGCAACATTGCATGATTCTCCAGGATGTGTGGTTTTAGTTCTCTCTAAACTCTGATTTAAAAACAACAACAACAACCCACCCTTGATATAGTATGTTTGTTTGAATGAATGAATGTGCCTTTGAATTATTCCAGAATCAAAGAAATCAAAGCCCAGAAGAATCTTGAGGTTATTGAGATCCTTTCAAGGGAGTGCGGTATTGTTGCCAGGTTCTGGGTCCTGGACTGGGCAGGTCCTTTCGAAGAGACCAAGTAAAGAAGATTCTTCTATTTCTTTGGAGAAATAATTACATGCTCAAAATGACAGCATTGTTAGAAAACCGTCCCTAATGTTCCGTTTCCATTTTTATTTGCATGATGTGGTGGCTTTTTAAAATTTTTGTTTGGTTCTCTTTATGTGTTCACTTCTTCTTGCCTAATATGTGGCTCTCTGGGCTGCAACAGAGCATTCATATTTTGCTGGAGGCCTGCTTTCTACATTAAATGTCTGTACTCATCAATTGTCCTTATTCTCAGTTGTGTGACACCAACAAATCACATCCCTGAAGTAATTCTCTTTCACTTGTTAAAAATCAATGGCTTCTAGAGAGACCTTGGTGTTTCTAAGGAGACCTTGGTATGCTGGCAATGGATTTACGAGACTAACATTACCATGCATTAATACTAGCTGATATTTACTAAGAGCTTTCTGGACTCCCCTCCTATAGGCATTGCTCCTTATATACCAGCCATGCCGTCCTTTTTCATCTCTTCAAAAGTGCCCTCCCATCTCGAGGTCTTTGCAGAGGGGCTTTCCTGTGCCTCCAATATCCCCCTACCCCCAGCCAGGGGCATTGTGTACAGCTGTGCAGGTTGCTGCTTAAAGACACTCAGCGGGCGGGCCAGAGGGCGCTGAAACCCAGCCTATGCTCTTCCTGCTAAGCCATGCTCAGGATGTGAGCCCCGTCTGCCCTATGGTAGGGGTTCAAAACCTTAAGGTAGCAGGTGAGAGGGCTGACACTTCTTCCTCCTGGTTCACTCTCACTCTTTCTTCTGATTATGGAAAGGTGTTCTTTGATTAGGTTAGGACCCAGTGGAGCTCTGTGTAATTTTCCTTCCTAGTCCTTGGCCCAATTCGGAGATGTAACTCTGTGTGGTTATCTAATGAATGCCCCGATCCTCAACTGGACTGAAAGCTCCACAAGGGCAGAGACCAGGCCTGTGTTTGCTCCTCGTGGTAGTCCCAACGCTTAGGAATTATTCCAGAATCAAAGACATCAAAGCCAGGGAGAACCTTAGGGGTAGGGATACCATTTCTAGTGGGTACTTGATAAATGTTTGTGGAATGAGCCTCTCTGCCTGGCACAGAGTCCTAAGCACTTTCCATACATCATTAAATCCTCACAATGTGAGTAATGAGTGATTGTTATCCTTCTTTTAGATTGAAGAAACTGAGGCACAGAGGTGTGAGGTGATTCATTCATGTGAGGTGATATGGTCAGTGACCATATCCTGCTGAGAATCTTTTGACCCAGGAAGCACAGGAAGTGGCCTAAGGAGAAGAGAAGGCAGCTTACAAGGAGAAGGCAGCTTACAAGGAGAAGGCAGCTTACAAGGTCACTGATGTGGAATTCAGGGTCTCGCAGCTGTGCGTGTTTAATAGAAGAAAACACAGTCATTTGCCTAGAAGAAAAAACTGGTGTGTGGGGGGGGAGATGTAATCATAGAAAATGCCCTCTTCATTAATTCTTACAGTAATAACTTGGCAGGTATTCATTTGTCTGACGTTCCACAGGGAAATCTGATGTCAGGACAGCAGAACAAAGTGGAGTTTGTCACTTGTATCTGAGGGGAGATTTGATGGCGCCTTTCCGTTCAGCGGCAATTTTCCTGCCTTAAGTATATTTTTTTCTACTGATGTCATGAAATCCTCAAAGTAACAGTATTCCTGTTTTGGAATAGCAGTAGGAAAGGAGAACTGCAAATCTTGGGACAACAGCCTCGGCCAGCCTGACAAAGGGCTTTCACCAGTAATGAAACCCCGAATGGCTTTGCATCACAATGAATCTCCAAAAAGCAAAATGAGATTTCTAATAGGCCTTTAAGCAGTAATATGAGGCCACCTTTAGTGACATCCCTGCTTTCATGGCTAAATAATGGGGTGCTGTCTCGTTCCCAAACCAAGAATAAGTATGAGAGAGCCAGTGTAAATCAGGCCAAATGAAAAGGACTTAATCTTCTGAGAGTAGTCCCTGGGAATTATCAATCATTTCATCAGGCTAGCTTGAAGGGATAGAAGCCATGTCAGGCCCTTTTCTCTCTTTTGGAATCAGTGCAACTGGCTTCAGATCAAATAAAAATAGAGATGGAGTAGAGGCAACCGCTCATCATTGGGGAACTCGGGAGGGGGACAAGGGGCCATGTCAATCAAAGGAGAAGGCAGCAGCGGAGGCTCCCTCTTTAAGGGATTCCCCAGAGCGGACAGGTTTGAGTGTTTCAATGGGCAAAATAGAACCACTGAGTATGTTTCCAACACCTGACTTACTGGTAATGCTCATTAGTCGTGTCCTTTTCCTTTTTCCTTTTTTAAGACTTATTTATTTTTAGAGAGAGCATGAGTGGGAGTGGCAGAGGGAGAGGGAGAGAGAGACTCTCAGGTGGGCTCTGACGTGGGGCTTGATCTCATAACCCTGAGCTCATGACCGGAGCAGAAGTCAAGAGTCTGATGCTCAACCAACTGCACCACCCAGGTGCCCCCCTTTTCTTTTTTTCTTAAATGTGAATCAAATATATTTGAATCATAAGAATTGATGCTATAATTCTGAGAATTTATTTTTCTGATTTGTGTGTATGCATAAACACACACAATTGCTTCCTCCTTTTTGGGTGCTAAGTAAAAGATTTGCAGGACCTAAAGAAGATACACAGTATGCTTTCAAAATACACAAGGGAATCTGAGAAGTCTTTATTAACTTTGCATCCAGTTCTAAAACAAGAGGGACCATCCCAAAGTGGCATTTAAACAGAATAAAGCAGAAAGGAGAAAAGCTTACTTTATATTGAAAACTGAATCTTAGAATCCAAATTCTATCCGCTTTTCATTAGGTAAGAGATTAATTTGTTTTCTTGGAACATGAGAGCACAATCCTGATGCAAAGCCATTTACAAAATGACACAGGCCCTAAATCAACCATCATTTATACAGCCTTTCAAGGGCCTAGTGTTTGATAACATCTACCCATCGTAAACAGCAAAAGAGATTACCCAGTCCCTGCCCTCGGCCTTAACTGGTTTCCCAAACATTCTGTTAGAGGCATCAGTCTTGAGTAATAAACTTCAAATATTTGGAAGAAGTACAACAGAGGTTATCTGGAATGGGGCATCCAGATACACGGCGACCAGCCATTAGGACAGAATCTCATAGGACTCTTTTCTATGATGTGAGGAACAGCTCTGAAAACCAGTAGGGGAGAGCCAGCTACATTACTCTCCAGCAGCCTTAAAGTGTGTTTAGAAACCATGGTTACTAGGATGTGATCTGGCTTTCGCCCCCTCACTAACTCCACCCTGGGAGACCGACAAGCCGTTATTACCCCAGCATCAAGCTGAATCACCCTCCTAAGTTAAACACAGAATCCACTCCCATTTTACCAGGCCCATCATCGGAAGTGGCATATGGGTCCAGTCAACAGAGCTCACCTAATGATGTGAGAAGGCCAGGAGCCCACCCTGCTGGTATAACCATCCTGAAAATCAGGGTCGTGATCTCGATGCACTTTGACAAACATGCCCCGAGTGCTGTGTCATTTAGTCTCTTTTTAATGGATTACATGTTTTCTCTAATGTGACTCAAGGAAAACCTGAAGGAGATCTGCCTC